ACCCTATGTGGACAAGCATACGGTGCCCAAAAGTACGAAATGTTAGGCATATACCTACAAAGATCAGCAGTCCTCCTATTTTTCCCAGGTGTACTCCTCACCATTATTTACGTCTTCTCCGAACCAATCTTGCTTTTACTTGGTGAATCTCCGAGCATTGCTTCTTCAGCTGCAGTTTATGTATACGGACTGATCCCTCAGATCTTTGCCTACGTTGTCAACTTCCCGATCCAAAAGTTCATGCAATCTCAAAGCATAGTTGCCCCAAGTGCTTATATATCGACTGGAACCCTAGTTATCCACATTTTGCTCAGCTGGGTTGCTGTGTACAAAGTGGGGTTGGGTTTGCTGGGTGCGTCGCTGGTGCTCAGTCTGTCATGGTGGATCACCGTGGTGGCACAGTTCGTGTACATTGTTAAGAGTGACAGGTGTAAGAACACGTGGACAGGGTTTTCGTGGCAAGCTTTCAGCGGATTGTACAGTTTTTTCAAGTTGTCTGTGGCGTCTGCTATCATGCTTTGCCTGGAGACGTGGTACTTTCAGATTCTTGTTTTGCTTGCTGGGTTGCTGGAAAACCCTGAGCTGGCCCTTGACTCTCTCTCTATCTGGTAAGCCATGGTTAAATGTTCTTTGACTGTTTTTCATTTTTTTTGCCAGTTTCTTTTTTAGATTCTCACACCTGATTCAATTCTAATTGTCGAATTAAATGAATTAAATAGATTCAACAAACATGATTAGATAATTGTCTATGAAAAACTAAAGTAGTGTATGTTTGTCATTTTTTATTTCCCCTTATACACATCTTTGTTTATAAATAAAAAATAAAAATAAAAAGGGTGAAAATACTATGTAAAAATCATTGTTTTTCTTACCCAAGGAGAGGTGCTTCTATAGTGACCTGACCCCCAAGGAAAAATGCTTATATTATTTCCCCGACAATACTTGGGTCTTCACAGGCATGCTTTATTGTTACACGTCACTACTCAATACTGGTTGGACCCAAACCCTGTAGTTAATTATTTACATTTGGCCATAGACAGAAGCTTTTTTAATGTGACGGAAAACCGGTCCAACCACCAAAAATTCAATGATTGTAGTACGATATTTAGTGTACCAGATGCTCCATGCTTAAAAAGTTTTGGACCACAAGAAAAACTTCTTTTATTATTATTTGCCAATTTTAAGATTAAAATTTACAAATTAAATGACTTATCATCAATCAGAAATGAGTACGTTTATCAATACTTAGACAATAATTCAATCCTCAATTTCTATATAATTTAGTTTACAAATTTAGTTTCTCTAGTATTACCATTAAGGTCGCGAACATATGGCCCAACCGAATGTCTGGATGCCAATTGATATACATGCAATAAAATAGATGATGTGCCTGCTCCATTTTTGTGTCTTGATTATCAATTTTTTTTAATATAGAAAGTGAGAAATAAAAGAAAAGTACAAGAAGAAGTTTAAAATATCCCCATATAAACTAGTAACTTAACCAATCTACCAATCACAATTGTAGTTGTGTATGATTAAGGGGTCAAGACTATGGGTCACATGTTGTTAGGAATTTCTACTTAAAATTAGTGGATGACCCAGCTTCTTCTCGCTCACCAAAGCGTCAATTATTGATATAAAATAAGTAAAAATACTCTCAGAAAACAATAACAAGAGAGGTTTATGAATGGATTAAGTGGTGAATCTAAGTTGTTGTGTTGGCTTCAATTATTGATATAAAAAATAGTGTGAAAACAACGTATTTTATGCTGTAGTAGGTAAACTCTAAACTGTCGTAATGATTTCATTTATGAATTGAGAGGTGAATGAATCTGCATTCACTCATTTTTTTAGGATATAACTTGGTTGCTGAAAGAATCAGCAGCATTTCTTGCTAATCACCGATTACGGTTGGACACGTGTTCAAGTTGTGATTAAAAAATTCACAACTTGGACGCGTGTCCAGCCGTAATTGGTTATCAGCAGGAGGTGCTGCTTAATCTTCAACAGCCAAGTTCCGTCGTTTTTTTTTTTTTTTTTAAATTATGCAAAAAGAAAGATAGTTACTTATTTCTTTCAGCGATTTTGCAAATAGCGAAAAATAATAATGTTTATATACTTTGGTTCAAGTTTGATTTCCTCTAATTCTTCGTTTTTTAATATTTAACAATTTAACCAACTAGTTACGAATCGTGATGCATTGCGAGATTTATTGAGATCAATGGGTCCGCAACTTGTCATGTGTTTACATGCGAGTGGTCAATTTTGTCTATCTAAGTTGGCAAATATTATTTGAATTAGGATTGAATGGAGCTTAAGAGTCGAGACGTAGCCTTACATTTTAGATGGAATTTTCCACATGAGGTTAGCGGCCTTTTTGGACAATGGTAATTGCTGGCTGGATGGAAGATGTGAACGAATTGACTAGGAGCTTTGTGGTCTCCAAGTCAAATTCTAATTTCATTCGTACCCACGTGGCACTGCATTGCTTGATAAATATTTATCTTCTATGCATTATTACAAGCCAAAGACAAATGTGTGTTTGTCTCTTCCTAATAATTCCTTTTGGCATCATTCTATTAATTCCTGCTTTTAGGCTTTAGGCAATTCTTGGACCACTGGCCCTAAAAATGGGTCTAATTAGTATGGACCTCACCATCGCATGAAGGCCGTGTAACGGTCTAATTTGGTGAGCGGATCATAACATAATTAAGACTAGGTTGAATTCATTATGATATGTTTATGGAACGATAATGAGAATAGTAAGAAATTAGAAAATTTGGAAGTAACGAGCATGGTTGTGACATAATTGAGATTAGGTTAAATCTAGTTACCTAGAGTCATGTCCTAATACTCATGCCTCGTTTAGTGATCATCTATTTCATGATTTAGACTAGATTGAAATCAATATTGTTTGGTTTCATTTAGTAGGCAAATCATGACACGACTGTGAATAAGTTAAATCCAGTTGCATAGAGACTAGAGTCATATACCTTGGAGAAGAAATTTATTTTGTCAAATGTGTGGGACATTTTATTTAATGTTCCAATCCCTCTTCTATATATTAAGAGCACCAATCGTGGGACAACAATACAATAATTCTTTACAATTGCAACCGTCATGTCATGCTCTCTCCGAGTCGAAGGTGGTTAATATTTGATGTGCTAGTTTATCAGAACCAACTCTACATGGAAACCTAATTTTGTGTCTTTAATTGAGTTTGACATATGAGGTTTTTTTTAATTAATTGCAGCATGACAATCAATGGATGGGTCTTCATGATCTCAGTTGGGCTAAATGCAGCTGCAAGGTCAGTGCCATATTCATATATATTACATACATGCACCTGATGAAGGGGATCCCGTTTCACTATAGCCGGAGCTGAATCCATATCGATAAACATTTTGAAATGATATCAAAAGCTGTACGATCAATTATCGGAAGTATCAATAACATGAACGATATGTTGATAACCCGATACAGCTAGAATATGATTGTCGATATCTCCCGCTCCAGCTACAATGGATTCGAACTCCTCTTACGAAGGGTCCTATACATAAATTTTGATAGGTCACATAACCTTTTTTATGTAGAGAACATGGAATTATTTAAACTTACTTTTACTTTTCATGATTTACTACAAGCAGTGTGAGAGTGAGTAATGAGCTTGGAGCTGGACATCCAAAGTCTACAGCATTTTCAGTTGTGGTGGTGACTGTAGTCTCTTTCATTATCTCAATCTTCGCAGCCATAGCTGTTCTTTTACTGCGTCATAAGTTGAGCTACGCCTTCACCGAAGGTGAAGCCGTGGCTGCTGCTGTATCTGATCTCTGCCCGCTTCTGGCCCTCACCCTCCTCCTTAATGGAGTCCAGCCAGTTTTGTCCGGTAAATATAAATTGGAGCGTTCGTCCATGAACTTGCTACGTTAAATGAAACATATGCTAACTAATGTAAATGTGCGAATTCAGGTGTTGCTGTTGGGTGTGGATGGCAAGCTTTTGTTGCGTATGTGAATATTGGATGTTATTACGTGGTTGGAGTACCATTTGGTGCTCTTCTAGGGTTTTACTTCAAGCTCGGCGCCAAGGTACAAAAAATCAACATCAACTTGAAAAATATAATTTCGTAGTTCTCATTACTGAATTAATCTAATCGCATGATGCGAATGTTTACTAACATTAATTGTCGTATCATATAATGCACTAATGTGATCGAAAAAAGTATCATGCAAATGATGACAACTATAATAATTATGTGCGATAATTTTGTAGGGAATATGGTTAGGAATGGTGGGGGGCACATTGATGCAAACACTCATCCTACTGTGGGTGACCATTCGGACTGACTGGAACAAAGAGGTATCAGATTTGAGTGCCACTTTTCTTTTACTTCAAAATTTTTTATTATAATTATTTTTGGGATTTATCTGGCATGATTTATTAATTAACATTATAAGTGATCTTTTTTTTAATTTTTTTTTATATAATCGTTATTAATATGAAACCATACATTTGAATTGAATTGCAGGTGGAAGAGGCAAATAAAAGGCTGAATAAATGGGATGTGAAGGAGCCACTCAAGTAGTGAGAAAACAGTTGTGAAAGAACGAACATTCATTTTTGGGTGTGATTATGATTTGATTTAAGATACATAATAATATGTATTGCAAAACAATTTAATCATTATTATCTTCCATGATTCTACCATTCACTGCTGCTTTATGGTAACTTTTTGTTACGATATGATAAAATTATGCACGACTTGATGCCATGACATGAACACACACAAAGGTTTAATGTTCGGGTTGAGCATTGACGGGCAAACCAGTTAAAAAGGGTCGTGTTTATGAGAAGAAACAAAATCATTGTGTTTTGTTTCATTTTATAAGCTATTGACTATACTTTTCCTTAACAGCTTGGGTTCGTGTGGATTCGTTCAGAAATCGGGTTGTGTCCAACACGATCTGTTTGCCAGGTCAACTTTTCAGCATCCACCTTAATGTGAAAATACAGATACTGGAATTGCTCGCGGTAATGCAAGTACATTCGATAATTCTGACACATTTGACAAGCAGGAATGTGAATACAAAAATGAAACAATCCAAGGCTATTACTTCTTCTTCCCTGCTTTTCCCTCCTTCCTTCTTATGATTTCATCAGCATATTTCACACCCTTACCTTTGTACGGTTCCGGGGGTCTCCATTTCCTGATCGACGCAGCAAACTGACCTATAGCACTCTTGTCGTATCCGCTAACAACGATTCTGGTGTTTTCTTCGACCTTGACCTGTATACCATCAGGGATATCCATCCTAACCGGATGGGAGAATCCAAGACTTAGTACCAAGATCTTTCCTTCTAAAGTAGCTCGATAACCGATGCCTACCAATTGCAACCTCTTATCAAATCCTTTTGACACCCCCACCACCAAGTTGTCCGTAAGCGTCCTAAGCAAATTATTCAAACAAGCACATAAGGAACAAACCATTAAGAGTGAGGCTGGTTTATTGTTTAAAGTACATGGCCAAGGAGGGAAGAAATGTACCTGAAAAGGCCATGCATTTGATTGGCTCTTCTAGTCTCTACTGCCTTTCTGACCCTTAGAGCCCCAGAATCCTCCTTCTGAACCAGCACTTCTCGCGGGTAAGTTAGTGAAAGCTGCCCCAATGGTCCCTTTACTGCCAAAGCCTGTCCTTCCACAGAAATTGTCACACTGGATGGTACTTCAATTGGCTGCTTTCCAATTCGTGATTCCTTACACTCTATTGTCTTCTTCAAAAACCCAACATGAGATACAGGTACGCTACAAACAGAGAATCCATTTCTCTCGCCCAAAAAAGCAGACCGCAAATTGCTGAAACATGATAGTAAAAAGGATCTTCACTAACCAGAAATAATGCACTCTAATGTTAACTTCAAAAACATAACAAAACAATTTAAAAACTAAGTTCTTATGTTCCACTGGGTTTCTGAAATTCATGAAAGTTTCGATCTTCTCCAAAAAGTGGAGAACAAAGTAACGGAAACTTCAAAACATAAGAACACAATCTAACCACTAATTTGTTATGATCCACTGGGTTTCAGAAAAATCATGAATCCATTTCAAGTTTGGACCTTTTCCAAAATTTGAGACCCGAGAACAAAGTAACGAGACTTCAAAAACATAACACGGTGCAAATATTAGTTTCTTATGTTCCATTGGGTGTCTGAAAAACTCATGAATCCGGTTCAAGTTCGGACCTTTCCCCAACTTTGAGACCTAAGAAGCCAACACTACCCTCAGCTGAGGCAAATGCACTAAAATACGATATTATTTACACTAAAAGGATGAAGAGTGGGTTAAGCTCACAATTAGCTAGCAATAATGTAATTCAATTTCACTTTTAATGAAAATGGAACTTAAAACCTCTCACTTAAATATCACTAAGCCATTCTACTACGTCTGCCTTGCATTTGTTACCTGCATTATAAATTTGATACCTTTCCACGTGTGGGGTGTAGTGGGGCCAGTGGCTGGCCATGAAATTGAAACGGCACCGTTTGAATGTGAAACTAAGGTAGGGTTACAATACAGGCCATCATCTTCTACCTCTAGATTAATTCTACGGATGCGCACTCTTTTTTTATGCTTAAAATAATTTTCTACTTAATAAAATAATCACCTGAAAATATAATAAAATCCTTCAATTCCCACAAGCCAATCTTCTTGAAAAAAGCTTCAAATTGTCAGAAAGATTCAAACTTTACAAATTATTACAAGTAATTTTGACCCAAAAGACAAGGAACAAAAAACAAATGCTTGAATTAGAGAGCGGCATAGTAAAAGTAAAAGCAAAAGTGAAAGTAAAAGTAAAAGTAAATTGTGAGCTGACCTAGTTTGGAAAGATGAGGTGAGTGAGGAGGCCATTGTTTTCAAAAGCTTGAGAGCCTCACCCGCTGCATTTGTACTCTACTTCTCTGGACTAATCAGGATTGAAGAGAGAGCATGGATCCTTTGTTATCTAGTTCCCACCCACTTGCTACAATTACAAAACTACCCTCCAGCCTTGGGCTTTCCCAACCCAAGCACGAATTCGGATTCTTGGTTCTCTTTGTAAGGATCGCGAATCCGTAAATCATATCCGTTTATAGTACATTGTACGGTCATAAATGATTTAAATATTTTTATTTAAAATTAAATACAAACAACATCTAACAAAAACTAATTGTATAATGTACGATAACGGACAAGATTTACAAATTCCTAGAATTCTTATTAAAAGGATCCGAAGAAGATGTTGTTGGGCTAAGCACAATTTACAAGATGTCACGACCCTTGTAGGAGCCCAAATGACAAAAACATTTTCTAATACAATTTTTATTTTTTTTTTGTGGTTAAACATTTTATAGTGAAATAAGGTGAGTGGACAATCGGTCAATGTACTTATGTAGTTATGCTTTTATCTTGTGAAAAGAGAAATGAAGAGAAGTTAATCTTTATGTTTTGTGTAGTGTTTTTACGTTTTTTTTTTTAAATTCTTAGAGATTTTTTTTAATTTTTGTTCGTTGATCTTTTTTAATTTATTCAATTCGACGACTGAAAATTGAAAAAATGTATAAGAAATAAAAATAAATGTGTGAACAATACCACGCTATATTTAATTGCCAAATTATCAATGAAAAATGTTTTCTCTTTTGAAATAGAAGAAGAGATTCTATGTTCGAATTTTACTACGCCATTCATAGAAAAAGTATGTTGTTCTTCCTTTTCCTCTGTAGTTGGAAATTGTTCTTAGATTTGAAAGTAAAGAGGTGCGTGGTCGATAAACAACAAAAATTATTGTGTTTGTCGAGAAGTGATAGCGTTATTTCATTGCTCCAGTGATCAAGACATTGATCTAGGGTGCATTTGCACAAACAAGCAATTAGAGTAAAACTCCTACACGACAATCACAAGCACAAGCGTCGTCATTACAGAGCTATAATAGGAACACTAGATCATACCTATATCATGGCACACACTGGCCATTCTCGAATAGCAAAGTCACATAAAGTCATTGTTAAAAGATGAGACCGCATTACGCTGTCGATGAAAAACAAGACCACAACGCTCACTAGATGAGACAACACCCGCTAAACGTAGTACAAACAAAACCTACACTAATTCCATTTTCTCTCCTTGCACTCTTAGAAAAGAAGAAAAATGTAAAAGAATGATGTGTGAAAGTCATAAAAAAAAAAAAAACACTAAATGTTGATAAGAAACCTCCTATATATATCACTGACAACTAGCTTATTTTCTTGCCAGGTGGGATCTTGCTATCCTTCACGTACTCCACTAGGTGATGTGAGACTCTCAGAATTTCATGGCCATAAAAGACTCAAAACCTAAGACCATCTTTAATGGTGACCTAAAACCTAAATTTTCCCTTTCCCACCCCCCTCCACCAAATCCACTCCAACCCAAAACCTAAAACTCAAAAGTAAGGCAAATACCGGCCACAATTTAGCCCATAAATTGAAGTGGGACCCATAAATGAGAGTGAAAAGTGGGTTGTGAAGCCCACACCCCAAAACCTAGTCTCCCAATGCGCTGCACGCGCCAGAGACTTTTCCAGCCGAGGCCCATCCACGTGGGGCTGCCGCCCTTGCGTCTCAGCATCACTATAGCCCAATGACTACTTTTCTTCATCCAACAGCCAGTTTAATTGGACCATTAACCAACGGTCCATGTTCAAATTTTTTTTTAATATTTATATATTTATTGAATTCAACGGCTTAGATCGAATATAATCAAATTTAAAGGTCTAAATTTAAATCCAACGGCTAAATTTATTTAACTTAAAATTCAACCAAAAAATCTGATGGTGGATACCATTATTAAGTTTATGAGTTTTTGATGGTATTAAGTTTATGTGGTTTATTAATTGTCTTTTTTTTTCTTTTTAAGTTTATGTGGTTTATTAAATGTCGTTTGTATTAAGTTTATGTGGTTTATCATGATTTTCATGTATTAATTTAGCGATTTTTCAAAATTTATCGGAATTTAAATATTTTTAGGTTAAAATGTCCATATAATTAATTTAGCATAGTCTACATAAATTTTTTTTTAAAAGTTAATTTAAAAAAAAAGTAGCCTTAATTCATTCTTTGATAATCTCGGGTTAAAATTTTAGGCCAGAAGAGTTGGAGCAAAAAAACTGTTTCTTGGCTAAACATTTTTATGTTTTAATTTACCATTGGAGATGATCTAAGAAAAATAATGAGCTTTGAGAATATGACATTGGAAGTAGACCTGGTGCTTCTTCCATTCTAGTGTGATTCTTTTTTTTTCATAATGTCCAACATCATGCTCACTTGCACTTCCAAATTCAATCATTCAACCACAACAGACTCCTTCCTTCAACTGTTCAACGGTTGGACTTCTAAAATTTTCACTTCTGTGAAGTTGAACTGAAAATTTCTCTGGAAATCAATAATTTGTAGGTGAAATTTACCAACTTTCTATGGTTTTTCAGTTGACCAATGAGTGCTCTCAACTGGGTAGTTCACTGATCAAGCAATAAAGCTTTCCTCCTCAATCTTTATCCAAAGTTTGCAGAATATCCTATGTGTTTTCATGCCATATTTACTGATTATATGAAGCTTTTGAAACATGGGTTTTAGAAAAGTTCGAGACTTTACTGTGAGGAATTGCTGCAGAGGGAAAAAAAAATGAGGGGTGCTGTAGTTTCGCCACTGCAATTTCTGATATCGGTTTTCCTCACTAGCTGTTTTTACTGCCAGAAGCCTTCTGTGGTGAACATTGGAGCAATTTTTAGTTTTAACTCGGTTATTGGTAGAGTTGCAAAGACAGCCATGGAAGCTGCACTCTCTGATGTTAATACAGATCCAAGAATACTCAGTGGGACGGAGCTGAGGTTGCTTATGGAGAACACAAATTCTAGTGTGTTCTTGGGATCCGTTGAAGGTACTAATTGATCGGTATTCTTGTTTCTGCGTATGAATATCATTACTTGTTCCAGTTCATAATTTATTAGGAATGTAGAACAAAATTTGGATAGCGGGAATTGAAAATGACTTTATGCAATACCTTTGAGGGAGCTTTCAAATGATTCCTTGAAACGAGTCTTTCGAAAGTCATTTGTTTAGTGTCTTTATAGTGTTTTAGTAGTAGTTTTGCAGTGATTGAGTAGTTCATCGCTAGTGTTCTTGTAGTACATCTTAATAATTGAGTCTAGAGTTCCTTGGTAGTTTGAAAGTGCTAGTGAGTCGTAAGACGATGTATAGGACATTCTCAGGTTGCTATGACTCAAATTTTCTCACCTCTTGTATTTGTTGTAGATTTGAAGTTCCAAAACACGTGGAATCAATTGCTAATTTTCTCACCTCTGCTCTGATTAGTTTAAGATTTCTTTCACCACTATTAGCCCTTCATGAGCTCTTTTTTTGTCTTGCATATACATTTTCAATGGCACCGCGTCTAGTTTTAAAGTTGATTTCCTTTTAATATTTCCATATGTTGCGCTTCGTATCCTCTCTTGGGATGTTTGATATTGAACTTCACTCTGAATTGCAATCAATGTAACCCACATTTCTTAATGGCTCACTTTCTGGGAGCAGTTTTTCAGGTGCTTGACAAAAGTATAGTAGCCATAATCGGACCACAGACCTCTTCAATGGCTCATATGATCACTGAAATTGCTAATGGTCTCCAAGTACCTCTTATCTCATATGCTGCCACTGATCCTACTCTTTCTGCTCTCCAATTCCCATTCTTTCTCCGAACTACACAAAGCGATGCTCACCAAATGGCTGCTATGGCTGGCTTGATTTATTTTTATGGGTGGAAAGAGGTTATTGTTGTCTTTGTGGATGACGATTATGGGAGGAATGGAATATCTGCTTTACATGATGAACTTGACAAAACAAGGATTTCTCATAACTTGGCTTTGCCTGTCCAATATAATTTAAATGACATTGCTGATTTGCTCAATAAACTCAGATTTTTTGGCCGTCGTGTCTATATTGTTCATGTTGATCCCGATCCTAGGTTGAGAATCTTTACTGTCGCCAAAGAACTTCTTATGATGACAAGCAATTGTGTGTGGTTTGCAACAGATTGGCTTTCTACTACAGTCGATTCATTCTCTCCAATGAACCGAACTTCACTCACTGCCCTTCAAGGTGTAGTTACTTTACGTAAGCATATCCCAGAGTCCAGTCGAAAGCGTGCATTTATGTCTAGGTGGAAAAAAATGCAGCAAGACGGTTTAGCAAGTTCCGAGTTAAATGTCTATGGACTTTATGCTTATGACACAGTTTGGGCCGTTGCACACTCGATTGAAATTTTATGAATGAAAACAGAAATATCTCGTTCTCTGTCCTTGATAAATTACTTGACATGAGACAATCTCAAATTCCGCTGGGCAACCTTATGATGTGTTCAATGAAGCACTGAAGTTAGTCCCGTATGATGTTCCTTACAGATTTGAACCTTCTGGTGATGGCCAGTCCAATCCCAGTTATGATGAGCTTGTGAAGATGGTTGCAGAAAACGTAAGTAAAGTTTACACAGTTAGAATTGGTCAATCCAAAGAAAATTTAAAATGTGACTGTGGGGTGACATTACAAGCCAATACATGGAAACATGATGTGAGTAGGAGTCAATTGCAGTTCTAAGTTTTCTGTATTTTGTAAATGGAGTCCATTGAAGTTCTTCTCGAAGATTAATATCTTGAGTACGATATAATTACTGCAAATAGATATTATTATGTACTTCTTTTAACTAAACCGATCATGTGGTTCTGACATCATTCGATCCTTTCATATTGCAGGTTCAGCTTTTCAACCCTATTTAAGAAAAATCATATGCAAATATTTGGGCTCTGCAGTCTAATAGTTCTTATTAACATGAATCCTAAAAGTTAGCTTGTTAAGTTCACATCTGTTAGATTACTAGTTTTCCAGTTGCTTATTTTTAAGGGTTCTTTAGAAAAAGACCTTTGAAACTCTTATTTTCCAAACAAAAACCCA